CTGCTCGGAACCCGACAGGTCCGACATGAGAAAAGACATGTAACCGCCGGTCGTGTGTGCTGTCAGATCCGTCACCTATAAATAGAGGGCTTCATTTCACGCTCAGGTATCGAATCTCACCTCGAACTAAATAAGGAGTCCGATCTATACTGACTTGAGCGTCGGAGTGCTTACCCTCTTGTGCAGGTCCATTCTAGTGTTCAGGTCGGAACTGGAGACCGGGTTCGAGCTCGATTCGTGAAGAACCGTCGTGCAAATTCCTGCATAAACAAACGTAAAGGTCATTGGTTAATTAACAAAAAAAAAAGAATTTAGTGAAATAGGCACGTAAGCTATTTAGAATTCTCAATGTTATTGATTTGAGTGAGTTTGAGCTGATTATCTTATTCTTTCGATGTAATTTGAATAATTAAGGATGTCAAAGATGAGCTGTGAAGGTTGCTATGGAAATGCTAGAGCCTAGGAAAAGTCCCTATGCTTGAGGTTGTTGGATGCTCTCCACATCTGTTGATTGCAGAGTAATTTGATGTCCCGGTTTTTAACCGAGTCCGTACAACTGCCAGGTGTTACCTTAAAATCAGGGCCAGATATAAAAGGTAAACAGTGCCTAGCCGCAAAAAAGGGGATAAAACAAAGGAATCATTTTTTTTTAAAGAAAATAGAGAACATTCATTACTCATTTCGTGGAAGAAGCGGAAGAAGGAAGAGTTGACCTTTGCATAATCACTAAGCTGAGAGATTTTTCACCACTACTGAAGCTTTTTCACTTGATGGGTCTTTTTCTCTTCTACCCTCTGTTTTATTTTCTTTTATCATGAGCTAAACCCCACCTTCGGGGGGAATCACTTACTGTAACTCGAAAATAGCTTTATTTTAGCTACTCGTACATATTGATTTAATGGAGTTGTTTTAATACGTTCGTCTTATTGCTTTTGTTTGGCCAGAATTATTAGTTTGTTAGCTCGATTATGACTTGGAAAAGTCCCCTTGATACATGTTAATAACCTCTATATGCGTTAGACTCTTCTCTTTGAAGTAGGATGGTTAGTACTTAAGAACAAGGCTTGCCTTATCGATCCAATAAACTGTGTATTATGCTTGCTTATTCTAAAGCAGAAGTTGGGAATAAACACATTTGGGTATCTCAGGAGATAAGCATGTCAATTTTGGCATTCAACATCTTGAGTTTGTTAGAGCATTAGTTAGACGTCAGCGAGAGCATTAGAGAGATTCCTCCTCAATTTATCTTGTTATCATATCCATTTGGTTGTTTCAGCGTGTTCTCTATTTTCATATACCCCAGCATAAAACTACATAATACTTTGTTTTTCGCTCGTTTACCTATTTCTGTCATTTACTATTACAATGTTCGTACTACTTTGTTTTATTTTTAAAATGCTTTTTGTATTCTGTTTTACTACTTCGTAGTATAACCTTAGTCCTTGAGGAGACGACTTTGTTTTATGATACAACTGAACATTTAGTATACATTTGCAGCAGTTTTCACAAAAGTTGTGGACATGCAATAGTTGACCATTAGGAAATTGATCTATGCACTGAAGCTCAATACCGAGAAGGTTAGGTTAGGTAAAATATTAGGAAACCAATATGACAACTTAGACATAAGCGGATAAACCACGGTCCTATGCATAGGCCCTCTGACCCATAAAAGCTAATGTGTTAATAATTTCACTATAGGATTGTAATCATACATAAAAATATGATAGTAGGTTACCCTAAGCTCTGTTGTAGTCAAAAGTGGTTCGTTATAGAGTAGAACTCAATTTTTTTGAATTTGCCAAGTAGCGTCTAACGCTTTTTACTCAAAGTGTGTATTTTCTACATTTTCTCTTAAAACTAAGGCAGGAAGGAAAAGGGTTGTGTTTAATAAAGAAGCTTGACATTTGCAAATCCAAACCACAAATATTATCACAAATTTTTACCCATAAACTTCGATTGTAGTTTGAAACATTTCATTTAATTAAATTCATTTTGAAAGCACAAGTCCCCAAGGATTCAAGCTTGGAATTACTCTTGTATTACTTGTAACCGTGTAAGCTTGCATCTGTCTCTTATATTGTGAGAAAGAGAATATCCCGAAAAAGTTTTTGGCGCCGCTATCGGGGACTTAATTTTAAAAAATTATTTTATTTTTAAGTGAAGTGTTTCTTATTGTGATTGTTGCATACCTCTGTCTTGAGATTTAATTGTTATATCTAATCCTAGAGGTTAAGTTTTGTGTATGAACACAAGATCTGGCTTGCAGGAGACATGGAGTAAGAACTATGGCCATACAGCTCTAGAATTCTGACTTCCACCATGTAATTTGCTGATTCTAATATTAAAGTCGATAGATTTGAGCTAAAGCCAATTATGTTTCAAATGCTCGAGATCATATGACCATTTCATGGACTTTCATTAGAAAATCTCTGTCGCCACCTGCAGTATTTTATGCAAGTTGCTGACTCATTTAAGCTGGAAGGAGTAACCAAGGAGGTTATGCGACTGAAGCTATTCCCTTATTCTTTGAGGGATGGTGCTGGAGCATGCCTAGATTCATTACCAGTTGAGTCCATCACTTCATGGAATGACTTAGCTGAGAAGCTCCTGATAAAATACTTTCCTCTATAAAAAAATGTAGAACTTCCTGAAGAGTCATTGAGTGAATCATAGGAAAGATGTAAGGGCTTACTCTAGAGGTGTCCACGTAATGGTACTCCACGATGCATTCCAATAGAAACCTACTATAATGGCTTGAACGAGGTGACATAGTTGGTGATTAATGCTTCAACAAATGGAGCACTGGTATCTAAGCCATATGCAAAAGCCTTTGACATTCTGGAGAGAATTTCAAGTTACAAGCATCATTGGTCAAAATCGAAGCTTCTTTAGCAAAGACATCTAAAGGTTTAGCAGATGATGATGTGGTGGTAAACCTAAACTCTAAAATTTCACGGCTAGCAAATATTATGATGAAGAACATATCTCAATCCAAGGCTAGAGCTGCCAAGGGAGTTAAAACTTACTAGAAAGCGCTAAAGGAATGAAATAAAAAAATAACAAATGAAATAGAAGTTTAATTGAAGTAAGAATGAAGAGTGACAAAAGGTTCCATGGAATAATATGCTCGAAAATCAATAAAACGTATAAAAGTAAGGACCAAAAAGCTCTAGCTATGAAGTAAGACTTAAAAAGCAGCAAAATGGATGATGAATATGGAGGAATCCATTATGTAGGCTTAAAGTTGGTTGAAACCTCCCATTAAAATAGGGGGAAATTGTCGGGATTTTGTTAAAACCAAATGATTCTTGACTAGACCAAGTTGACTTGGACTGAGGCAACCAATTTGTGAGATGTCTTTTATGCCCTTACATCAAAATGTTGGTTTCATTAAAAACCCTGGTGCAATATTTTTTTCTGAAAAATGGAAAGTCGTGAGTTTATGATATGTTTGACTACAAAATATCTTCTTTTATCACAAAATGTTCCACTTTGCATTTTATCTAAAAATGTTAAGCTGTTCTCACTTTTGACAATATGTAAACATTTCTAACAAAATGTGAGAGGAAAGTGGTCGTTTTTATATCCAAACATGCCAAGAAAATAAGATTCTTACTGTGAAAAGTCAAACTAATTAGTAACGAAGAAAGATCATTTTCAAGATTTGGTTGTTTATCAAATGTTGGATCGTCTTGCAAGCAAGGAGTTCTAATGTTTCATATACAAATATTCGAATACAACAAGATTAACATCGCTAAGGAGGACTAGGAGAAGTTGACATTCACTTGTCCGTATGAGACATTTACCTTTAGGCATAGGACTTTCGGTTTGTACAATGCACTAACGATATTTCGAAGGTGCATGATCGTCATTTTCTCGGTAAGGTAAAAAACATTTTTGAAGTTCTTATGGACGATTTTTCGATTTTTGACGAGTCTTTTGATACATGTTAATTTAATTTAGAAAAAGTTTACGAAGGTATGAATTAAAGCATCTTCTGAATCTTTTCACTCGTCCGCTGTTGTTAATCAACTTCTGGCTCAGCGTCGAGATTGATTCCTTCAGGTCTGCTACTTCCTTCTTCGTTGCCTCGCAACGTCTTCCAAGTTCCTTATACGTCATCTTCCTTAACTCTCCCAATTCGATTGTACTGATACCAAGCTGTGAGGTATCTCCTCACGATTTACTATTCGATTGAAAAGAAGCCCGTAGGTTATAAAGAACCAACCCACCAATTTGAGAGCGGGGAATCTCTACTGACCTCACTACTAAGCACAAGGTGCTAAATACAAGACACCTATCCTACCCAATCCTTCCTCCTTTTATTCTCACGTGATACGCCCCCACCATAGGGTCTAACAACTTTCTCTCTCTTGACCATAATGGCCTTGTTGCCCTCGAAGTACCCATTTTGCCCTTCCCGCTATAAATCTTCACAATATGGGGTCTAAAAAACTTGAAAAAGATGATGTTAATGAGTAGAGAGAGAATGATGTGAACGATGGGGAATTAGAAGGTGGAGAAAAGTCACAGGAATCTGGTTCCGACAAGGCAGCAATGGTCGAGGTAGGAACAAGGACAATTTGGAAACGGAGTAAAATAAGGAATTAAATGATTTGGACATAAATGGGGGGCAACAATCAAGGACAACTTTGATGAGGCACCAACGACCAAGGAGAATTATGAGAATATGTCACAGAAAAAGAAAATTAATTCACAAACCAGATTTGGTGGGTCCCAACGAGTCAGAAGAGGAAATTAATATAAGGATGCGATGAACAAATCAGATGGAGGTAGGGAAGGTAAGTATGGACAATAAAGGAAATACTAAAACCTTGTTTAAAAAAAAACTAGTTTCCCATATCCTAAAGGCCCACAACACAAAATAACTAATGGCCCAAAACACGAAGTCCAAAATCACACTTTAGTAAGGGGCAATTGTAAGAATGACTAAAATTAATATCGCGTTTTAAAAATTGTCCAAACCTATGAAATATTGCAATAATGGTTAATTGATTTTTTCCGTTAAATTCTAAAATATTTTGTAGACAAATATAACCTTGTAACCAATTAAGTATATATGCATAATTTTAGGGATTTAGGATTTTTAACTAATAGCAAAAACAACGGGTCTTCATTTTAGGGAATCAATTCTATCTAATCAAATGAATGAAATTTAAATAATTAACTTAAATCTAATTTAAAATTGATCATCAAAATTTGAAAGTTTATTTAAGAATAAATTATTAAAAATGTGTTGGGGTAGATTTTGAAATTTACCCCTCTAAAATTCCAAGATAAGGGGATAAATAAGATTATTACTAGGTAAATGATAAAATTTACTTCTCATATTTGACTTGAGTCAGAGAAGTTAGAGTTTTAGGAGTCCCCATCTTCTTCCCTTTTGATCTCAAGCAACTTTATGTACCCCACAACCATTGTCTTCCTCATAAAGCAAATCTGCAAGTCGCCATCCCGCCGCTCACCTTCAAGGCCACCATCCCGTCCCGTTGCTCACCTCATGAAGCAGATCCGTGCGCCACTCACCTTCACGCCGCCGTCCACGAACCAAAACCAGACCCGTCGCTGTCGCACCCAACCGCCACCACCCTCCCCGCTGGCTACAACACGTACCATATCTGCTTGATGCTCACGTCCCAAACCAGATCTACTATCCCACCACCCGACCAGATCTGCCCAAGGCTGATACAATCCGTCGGCGCCCATACCAGATCCACCTACTACTGCTTCGATATGTTTCCGATCTACTGCCCAACTTCCATCTTCTAGCAACTGTTCGAGGAAGGTATGACCCTTTGTTCAGATTTTGCGTATTTTAGGGATACTTAAAAAGATATTTTTTGTTTCCCTATATTTTAGGATATTTAAAAAAATATAAGTGTGGAACCGACATGTGTCTTTTGTTTATAACTAGATCTGAGAAGTATATATCTACAACTGCAACAGACTTGCTATATTTATATAGCTTAAATTCTAAATAGAATCTATAGATATGGTAAAAGTTAGAGGATGAACATTTCGACAATGATTAAAAGCTACTGGTATAACTTAGAAAGTGAAAAAGATGTATAGATGGAGTAGTTTATATATTTCTTGTTTGTTAATGTTTACAGTAATATTTACAAATTAGATTCACTGAGCTAACAGTACTCGTATTTTTCAGGAAAAGGAAAAGGTCTCAAGATGGTTGAGAAAGAACGTGTTAGTGAGGTAATTATTGGTATATACATGTATTGACATTCTACTTATAATATTTGAGTTATATAGTTGTATATACATGTATTGACTTTCGTATTTTGTTAATTCTTGAATTGGTATATACATGTATTTACATAATTGAGTTTCATTGTGATATATAAGTGTATTGAATTCTAATTTTGATTTTTCTTTAATTGGTATATACATTTATGGACCTTTTAATTTTGATAAATTTTCTAGTGTTTTAAAGGACGATACAAAGTCTAATGAAGAGAATGAAAAAGTGAATAATGAATCCACCGATGAATATAAGAAAAATAACCCATCGTCAAAAGAAGTTTAGGAAACTGAATCTGATGACGATACACGCCCAAAGACTACAAATTAAGAGGCATCATTTATTTTCCTAATCGTTTTGATTTATGGGTTGTTAGTCTTCGATTTTTTAACTTACATTTGTTGTAAATGATATTATTAAATGATAAAAAAATAGGAAAACAAGAATACAAAGAACCTGTGACAACATATACTCCTTAGTGGTTAGGTATATATACCAATTGATGCAAATATGTATATATACATTAAGAAGATAGAGTAGAACAATTGCAGAACGATGAGATGGGAGACGAATTGTTGTACACTAATCGTTTAAATTAACTGAAATACAAAACAAAGAAATTAAAATAATTAACTTGAAATCCCTTGAATGTAGGAAAATCATTTTGAATTCAAAACAAAGTTTGTTACTTGGTTAAATATAAGAAAAAACCAAAAAGACATCGAAAAGTGTATTGTTGGAAAACTATGTTCTTTTGTAAAACACCTAAAATACCCTTTAGCCATTTGTGCAAAATTGAAAACTAATAGACAATTTTTAAAACGGGTGGCAAAATTTAGCCATCCACTTAAATTTTCCCTTTAGTAATTAAATTAAAACTCACAACAACCCAAGAATAAAATCTAAAAGATAGAAATTAAATTGTCCAAAAACCTTGAATTTCAGATTTAATTAAAAAAATCCTACAAAATTTGAAAACTCAATTTATCTTAATGAACCGAAAAATAAACATAATTCTATGTTTATTCAAAATTAGAACTCCAACTTAGAAATCCAAGAGTTTAATTACTAGCTTAGGGGAAAATCCAAAAGTCCAATTTAAATCATAAGATAACAATAACTAGAAAACTGGGGGCGTTACAAGACTAGTTTAAATTTTGATTGTTGTATAGTGTGCCTAGTAATGGAAATAGTGTAGGTCTAATGCTTCTTTGGAATTATGAGACTGATGCCCGTACAATGTCCTATTCCCAAGGACACCGTTGATGTGTTTATCAATGAGCTGTTGGAAAAAAATTAAATAAATCCTAATTCATGATTATTCTAAAATAAAAGCCATAAAATTCCAGAACAATCAAGACCAAGGATCTAAGCATGGAAGAAAACCAAAATTTATCAAGGGATTATAATTACCTGAAACCATTAGATAGATTGACCATGATCTGCAAGAAGTTGGAGTTTGTGGTCTTCCTCAACTATGCAACCCAGACCAAATATGGGCAATACTCTCTGTTTGATGGGGTACAGGAGACTCAAGAAGCATAGTGTATTGGGGACCGTAACTATATATGTATAAGTTAATCCTAGGGTTTTCCATAATCCCTTACGATTAATGGGCTGGTTTCTACTCAGCAAGCCACAGCACTAAATGGGAAGTCATGGGCCCATAATTAAGATCAC